CCCCGGCTGGATCAGTAGTCATTTCTGTGGGGGAAATACATGCATGTTCTCCCTGTGTTGGCGTGGGTTTCCTCCGGGTGCTCCCCCACAAGTCCAAAGACATGCAGTACAGGTGAATTGGGTAAGCTAAAATTGACCGTAGTGTATGTGTGTGAATGAGTGTGTATGTGTTTCCCAGAGATGGGTAGCAGCTGGAAGGGCATACGCTGCGTAAAACATATGCTGGATAAGTAGGCGTTTCATTCCGCTGTGGCGACCTCAAATTATTAAAGGAACTAAGCCGAAAAGAAAATGAATGAATGAATAATGCTTTTTGTCATTTATTTGTGATTCAGATGGAGTTAAAGCTAACACATGCACCTATAACAGACACAAAAACCACAGTGATGTGCTTATCATAAGTGTTTTTCTCCTGGTTTGTTATGACGTCTATATAGTGTTCTTTTTTTCTGTTGTATTGTAATGGAGATATCTGTAATGCCCTGCAGTGGACAGGTCCACACACGCCTCCGACAGACACGAGCCCCTTCGCCTGAACAAAAGAGGGCCGGACTCATTTGTGCAAATGTCCCAAGAATTTCTAGCTTTCCTTTTCTGTGTGTGTTTGTGCTGGAGCAGCCCCATCAATTACAGCCAATTGAGCCGGCAGTTCTCCACCCTCTTTGGCAAGGACATTGTAAAGCCCGAGCTTTGCTATTCATCTGTGCTGAGCCCTGCTTAATGTAGAGTTCATGCCTGTCACACTTAATCCAGACCTCGCACACGGGACAGGAAGGTGGAATCTGGGGGATTTCTGTATCTTTACTCTTTCTAGAGCTCTTCCTCTTTCTTCAAGGAAATTGACGATGCTGATGTAGGTTTTTTCCTGAGGGTAAGCTGTGTTTGCTGACACATTGTCAATCAAAGCAGGCGTCTTGTTGGAATGACTGAGACATTTTTATATCTCATATGCACACTGGACATTTATTTGATTTAAAGAATAGTAACAGCAGTAATATTGGTTATTTTATAGTATATAATTTATTCCTGTGATGGCAATGCTGATTTTTCAGAATCTGATATTTAGGCCAAATGATGCTTCACAAATACTTTTAATATGTTCATATCCTGCTTAAGAAACACTGATTTTTATTTTTAAGGCTTAAATACACATACAAAAATGGCTATAATATGGAATGGCCAAATCATGACAGTAGCTACCTCAATACAATTAGCTACCATTTTGGGTGTTTTTGTAACAGTTGGTTAATTACTGTTAATTAGCCTACCATAAATCTGACATTATGTAAAGTCTTACGGTCTCCTACATCAAATACTGCAGGGTTGGCAGGGATGCTATCAAATGTATAATAACTGATTTATTTTATCTTTGCCATGATGACAATAAATAATATTTGACTAGATATTTTTTAAGACACTTCTATACAGCTTAAAGTGACATTTAAAGGCTTAACTAGGTTAATTAGGTTAACTAGGCAGGTTAGGGTAATTAGGTAAGTTATTGTATAACAATGGTTTGTTCTGTAGACTATCGAAAAACATATAGCTTAATGGGGCTAATAATTTTGACCTTAAAATGGTGTTTAAAAATGAAAAACTGCCTTTTATTCTAGCCGAATAAAGCAAATAAGACTTTCTCCTGAAGAAAAAATGTCATTAGGCATACTGTGAACATTTTCTGAATCTGTTAAACATCATTAGGGAAACATTTAAAGAATAAAAAAAAATTTGAAGAGGGGCTAATAATTCTGAACTCAACTGTGTGTGTGTGTGTGTGTGTGTGTGTGTGTGTGTGTGTGTGTGTGTGTGTGTGTGTGTGTGTGTGTGTGTGTGTGTGTGTGTGTGTGTGTGTGTGTGTGTGTGTCCGTCAAACAGAAATTGGGGGGAAAAAAAAACAGGGCAGGGGCTAATAATTCTTACTTCAACTGTATATATAAGTAATAATTGAACTGTAATACACTAAAAAATGTTTGTCTAATATGGTAGGGTTGTATGCTATACTAGTATTGTCTAGACAGACATAGCCATTTGAATTCTGAATAAGCCAAATAGGGTCAACACACCTGTTTACTGTTGTAGTAACCACTTTCTAGCTTAAGTTCATTTTTTGTTTCCATGGATTAAATGTTCTAAATTTCACATAAAAATTCACATATTTTACCATCTGAATCAATAAATGTAAAAAAAATATACAAGACAACACATGACAAAATGTGTACATTTATTAAATGGTTCAATCACTGTATTTAGTCCTGTCTGTGCAAGACTGTATGGTATAGTTATTATAGTTAAAATATAGTTAAGGCCACATGCACTGTAGTGTGTTTTGTATTGGTAATTCATTTAGAAATAAAAATAGTGAAATGTTCGTTAAGAGTTATATTTTCAGGAAAACCTGATTGCTCCTGTATGACATTGGGTACAAGTGATACACATGTATTTATATAGCAAAGAACTGCAAATAAGCAGATATTATAACAATTATAGATAAACACACACCTTGTTCTCTCGCTCTGCACAGCTGTGGTTTGCTAATCAAATGAAAAATAAAAGATGGGGAAGAGTCGAATTCAGTTGCGGTTTTACATATCAAATTTAAAGGGGACTGAGGTGGTAATTTAGTGTACAGTTTATGAGCTAATCTCATAAGTTTTAGGGGAGGCTGCAGCCTATATGTCTACCTAGCTCCCCTAAAACTAGGCATAGGCCTAGCAGTGCCCATGCTCAAGTTCAAGTGGTATTTGTAAGGAATTGGATGCAAGCAGAATATGGTTTGTATAGCATACAGTGCCATCTGCAATCGATTCAAGAGAGAATATCCATGTATTTTTTTTAAATTGCAGAATTGATTTCTTGAATGATTTTTTGCTACAGCTCTACTGTGTTTACCTGGTATTAACATGCGTTCAAAATCACTTTTGTGGCCACTTGTGTTTGAGTTTATTTTCATAATCACATGTTCGGCCAACCTTTGCGGCAGTTTGAATATTACAAAACACTACAAAAAGTGTTTGCACAACAGATGCAATCAAATGTGATTCTGGCTACCTGTAGAACATTTGAGACTCTGATTACATTGTATTTAGTTTGTTTTTCTACCAGTGAACAGATTAGCAAAGCGTACCAGGTGTAAATGTTTAATTCTTTTTCATTTCAACTGCATTAAAAACATGTTCAGAAACCATGATATTATCACGGTACCACATCCAAAATGCTACGCCTATTTGTTCAGCAAAAGACTGTGGATTGCGAGAATGGAGCGTCTTGGGAGGAGAGTAGGAGAAAAGAAAAATGTTTGGCTATATTTCTGATGAAAATTTGACAAACAGTCCTGGGGACACCCTCTTCTTTACAAAAAAAGAAGAAAAAAAACTTGTGGTGTAAGGCTTCAGACTGCCTCATAAATATCAATTTTAACATGCAGCAGTGGCGATCGATATCATTTCAGCCATGGAATACGACTTAAGGAGTCGCCTTTATCTAATTGGCCTTCACTGAAAAATGAACTCTGCGGCCTTGATAGGGACGAGCGGCTTCAGGCCTGCGCTGCTGATCAAGGGTCTACTCTCTTTTTGTCCCCGCAAACACATCAATCACAGCTAAAGAGTCTCCCGTCCCACTGCAATTTGTTTCTGGAGCGCCCGTGATCTTTCCCTCCCACAATGCCCTTCTCCCTCGCCTGCTCGGTGGCCAGAGAAGAACTCATCCTGTCAGCACGTCATTAAATAGTTGGGTCTAAAGGCTCTGAGTTATAAATTGTTGTGCATAATTTATTTTTTCTGGAGGGGAGAAATCTATTGTGAAGTTAACTTTATAGAGGTCTGCATAACAAAAGGGAATAGATGAATGTGTTAGGGGTGAGGAGGGATTCATCCATCTGAAGGAGTCCACCGATGCATTGTGTGGTCAGTAGACATGTCTATGGTTCGTAGGTTGCAGAGGTCTTTAGCAAATATGTGATTGAATTGAACATTAAATATTCTGCACGCCTCTTGGCTTCTGCTCTTTTTTTCTACATATTAAAGCCAAAAAGAGAATTTATTAAATAAATGTATCTGGACACTAAGGTTTTTTTTTTTGCACTACAACTAATGATCAATAGTGAAAATTAAACATTTTGCCTCTTCCCAACAGGGAAAACCAGCAACAATGCATGATTATATGGTGTCTTGGCTTTGCAATCAAAGAATGTCATTATAATGGAAGTCAATGGGGCAAAAACAACCACCAACATAATGAAAGGGTTGTACATATTTAACATTTTCAAAGCATTTACCCTAAATATGTTTCAAAATAAGGTTTGTTGTCAAAAAATCATCCCATTTGCTGAAACACAGATAAAGTTGTGGCCAAATTAAGACAAAAAATTAGCCCAGAAGGGATGAAAACATACTCAACAGCACACAAGGGTTAAAACTTATGCACTCACTCACATTGCTTACTTATTCCAATTTTTCTCCACAGTGGAATGAACCACCAATTACTCTGGAAGTGCATCCTCTGCATAAAAACAAATTCCAGTCACAACCCAGCACTGGAAAACACCCATACATGCTCTCATTCACACGCACTCGGGCCAATTTTATTAATTCATTCATTTTTCTTTGGCTTAGTTCCTTATTTATCAGGGGTTGCCACAGCGGAATGAACCACCAACTATTCCAGCTTGTGTTTTAAGCAGCAGATGACCTTCCAGCCACAACTCAGTACTAGGAAACACTCTAGCATTCACACACATACACTTAAACAGTAAGGTCAAATTTGTTTTACCAATTCACCTCTACTGCATGGTTTTAGACTGTGGGGCAACTGGAGCACCCGGAGGAAACCCACGTGAACACAGGCAGATCATGGAAACTCCACACAGAAAGGACTTCTTGTCCAGCTGGGCCTCAAACCAGCAACCGTCGCTGTGGGGCAGCAGTACTAACCACTGAGCCACCTCGCCACCCTTTTTTTAAAAACTCTGTTATGATAATAAATGATTTTTGTGTGTGCAGGGCCGAGCTCTCCTGCACTGGGCGTGTGACAGGGGCCATAAAGACCTGGTGTCTCTTCTCCTGCAAAATAATGCTGATATCAATAGTCAGGTGAGTCTGTAAACACATTTGGTTCAGTTCTTTTGATGATACATTTGTTTTTCACAGTGGTTTTCAATACTGCCATTGTACAACAAAACCAAAGAAAAGGGCTTTTTATTACTTACATTTGCCAATAAAACTAGCAAACTTAAAAAAAAAAAACGGTATTGGTTGGGCATTGGTGTTTTTATAATTTGAGAAAAGTGAAGAGTAAAGAATTCCTACAACTCGCACAAACAAAATCTGCTGCAAAGAGACACATTTATAAAGTCTGCATTGAACTAAAATGAGCTCGCTGTGACTATAATGAGGAAAAAAACAAGGTATGTTTGGGTTTTTCTTTCATTTATAGTCGCATGTTATGACATGATGTCACTTTAGGTTTGTTTAGATGTTTTTGGTCAGTGTTGCATTCATATTTTAGTAAATCTACTCTAAGGTTTGTTGGGAATTAGACAGATAAGGGGTCTTGTTTAACTTATTTGGCTCACACAAAGTTGGCTGGCTCTCACATGGTTGCCCACTGAAGCTAAGCAGGGCTGCACCCGGTCAGTACCAAGATGGGAGACCACACAGATAAGCTAGGTTGCTGCCGGAAGTGGCGTTAATGAGGCCAGCGGGGGGCGCTCAACCTGCGATCTTTGTGGGTCCTAATGCCCCATTCACATGGGGCTTCAGCGTCAACGCTTGATAGAGGGTGTGTCTAAAGTTGGGGCTGATGCGATCGTCATTGCAGCGTCAGCCAATGAATTAAGTCAGCAATAGGCCACTTTCTGAGCTGGTGTATTTGCATACAGCCTTCTGATTGGCTGACACTTCCGTTGACGCTTGAAAAGTTGAGCAAGTCCCAACTTCTGCAGCAAGCAACGCCTCTGAATCGGCGCCAACGGATCCACAATGCAGTTCGGCTACGCCTGACGTCACCCATTCAAAGTAAATGGGAAGCGTTGAAGCTGACGCCCCGTGTTAATGAGGCGTAACGGCCCAGTATATGGAAGGGGACGCTATAGTGAGCGCCGTCTGTCGGATGAGACGTTAAACCGAGGTCCTATCTCTCTGTGGTCATTAAAAGGATGCCTTTCGAAAAAGAGTAGGGTTTAACCAAACTTGCTTACTAGACTTTGTCTATCATGGACTCCAAACCATCCCCATATCATAATTGGCTTCATCACTGTCTCCTCTCCACCAATCAGCTATTGTGTGGTCTGGCACAATATGGCTGCCGTCGCGTCATCCAGCTGCACACTGGTGGTGGATGAGGAGATTCCCCAAAATGTGTAAACACTTTGAGTGTCCAGAAAAGCGCTATATAAATGTAAGAAGTATTATTAAGGTGTAATGTTGCAATTATCTTAATTCACTTGCTGGATTTAAAATGAAATAATTATGTTGTTTTTTTTGCCCTAATTTAAAATGTCAACCATTTATTGGTTATCTTCAGGCAAAGTAAAAACAGTAAGTAATTAAAATATAGTAATAAAAATATTTTTTTACTTGAAATAAAGCTAATAAAAGTAGAAATAATTAGTAAATATTGAAGAGAAAATATATATAAAAATAAACATTAATTTTATTTTAGCCAGGTTGCCAAGAAATTATTTCAGATTGTCATATAGTTTTTTTTTTTTTTTTTTTTGTGGCATTATAACTAATACTATACTGGCAAATTAAAGCAAACTAAATTATTACAAATGATTCAGCAAAGTTATTAACAATTCATTTAAAATTTCAATTAAAACAGACAATTTAAAATCAGAAGATTATACAAAAAGTGAAACTAAAACTTAAATAGTATAAACTTAAAAGTGGTAATTTTATTATCAGTATATCCCTAATATATATTAAACACACAATCATGTATTCAGTTAGTGTGTTAAAAAATTACTGTAATTTATTATTCATGCAAGATTCCCCACTAGGCCATCTAAGATTACTTTTTAACATAAAAAGAGGTTTTTAGCTAAAGTTGTGTAGCTTCCTTGGCTATTAATAAAATCCAAGTCAAAAGCTATGTCCATTTTGGGCACTAAGCTGAATTAAAAGCTGAATACTGTGAATCTTTGTATATAGTGTATAAAAGTATATATATTTAATTTTTTGATCCCAGAGCTGAAATACGCTCTAATCTGAGAGAAATGGTGAACTGGAAAGTCCTGAGCTTAGCAGCGACTCTACTTTAATCATTTATGGATATTGTGTCTGTCAGAACCACGCTGTAAATAGGTAACTGTATTTTAAAAAAACACTACAGGTCATAATGGCAGATTTGGCTTTGTCTTAAGCTGGCTGAATACAGCATTGGTAAATTAATACGCTGAAGTACAGTTATGCGGTCACTGGCTTGATCTGATTCTCACTAAGACAAATCAATTGGAAGTAATCAGCCAAATTGTTTGCATTATACAACCCATATAATCAGAACATTTGCAAATGACTCTGATGGTTTTTTTTTTTTTTTTGGTGGCTGTAGACCTTTATTATGTGGGATGAAAGCAAATGTGCAGCCTAGACAACAATCAATGCCCTTCTGTTGTTATATTTTAAGAGTTATACCAATGTAAAATGCCCTCTAGAGCTACAATAGAGAAAATAACTTCTTTTTTCATTAAATAAAAAGTACAGCAAATATACAGCAATCATAGAAACACTTAATGTCAATGATAATAAGTACTTACTGTTTATTCTGTATATATATATATATATATATATATATATATATATATATATATATATATATATATATATATATATATTTTTTTTTTTTTTTTTTTTTTTAAAGGCGCAAAAACCTTTATAGTTTCATTTACATTATTATATATGGACAAAAATAAGTAATATACTTTGGATGCAAGCATTGTATATCATTGGTTAAAGTCTTTTCATGATTTTTGAATGTAAATTCATACCTGTGTGTGTATTGTTTTACTGATTGGTTTGTATATAAATATTTTTTAATAGCCAAATATTTTCCAAATTATGTTTAACAGAGCAAGGAATTGTTTTCAGTATTTCCTTTAATATTGTTCTTCTGAAGAAAGCCTTATTTGTTTATTTCAGCTAGAATAAAAGCGTTTTTTAAGGTCGATCTTAATAGCCCCCTTAAGCAATATTTCTTTCGATTGTCTACCAATCAAACCACTAATATACAAATTGCCTAATTACCATAACTTGCCTAATTAACCTAGTTAAGCCTTCAAATGTCACTTTAAGCTAAATACTAGCATCTTGAAAAATATCTAGTAAAATATTATTTGCCGTCATCATGGGAAAGATGAAATAAATCAGTTATTAGAGATGAGTTATTGAAACTATAATGTTTAAAAATGTGTTGAAAAAAATCTTTTCTCCATTAAACAAAAATCGGGGGAAAATATACAAGGTGGCTAATAATTCAGGAGGGCTAATAATTATGACTTCAACTGTATAAATTACTTGTAATATGTCAATTTTACTGTATATAAATCTTGTATAAAGTATATATAATAAAGCATTATAAATATATTTGATGGAAATTTGTATCACGGCTGGTTGTCTAACATGATTCCAGATGTCCTTCAGGGATGTGTTGTGGGTTACTGCACTGACCAGCAGAAGGGGACTACAGCAGGAGAATTATTGAGGGCAGATTTATTAAGTAGCGTTCAAGTGGCATGACAGAATATATGGCGGTGTTAAATCATGCAACGGCTTCTGCCAAAATTATTATCCTATGTTAATACTTTCAGGAAGTGTGATTTGATAGCAATATAAAACTTAGTAGCCACTCATTAGGTTCAAGTGTGAGCCATGACTGTGTTTGAAAAGCAAAAAGCTGAACCACCAGCAGCCATATGTTTCTTCTAAATTACACATTTTTCAGAAAGTCATACATTGTCTAATATGTAGTTTGTAAGATGATGACTAAAATCAAACATATGGATGTGAAAAATCCACTTGAAAATTAGCAGTTTCTCTGAATTTACTGTGTATATGTTCGGGTAAAATGTCAATATTTATTTTATTCTATAAAGTTCTGATTTCTTCCAAATCGTAAATAAAAATGTATATTAGTGAGAGGTAGTCGGAAGCGTGCCTTAATGTTCCACCAGGGACGATACACACAATATCACAATCGTAGCAGTGCGAAATGGCTGTCCATACAACAGTTTGACGGCATAATCGTGTATATAAAAAAGAAAATCAAACAGAGTCTCAAAAATCCTTTTGTACGAGGAACTACTTTCTTCCGCCATTCCTTCCCATCTGCAGTTGACGTTAGAACAGCAGCAACCTCTTTGCTCTGCTTAACAACAGGCTAGCTGGCTGCCTGAAATTATAAATATTTAAAATAAGCATTATCCCTATAAATAGACTGCATAGTTGCAATCTAAACAACTACATTTTTTGCTAAAAAGCCACAAAAAGTACATCATGTTGTCCAACAGCTGCAATATTTGTCAAGCTGTAGTGAGTTTGATCTGCTGTCACTCTATGTGGGCTGAGTAATACAGAAGGGTGAAGTGGCTGTATGAGTGCTATTATTGCAAAATATTGCACAGCTATCAGCCAATCAGATTTGAAAACCAGACTATTTTGTTCAGAATATGACAACAGGGCCAATTTTTTTTTCATATTTTCTTTTTAATGGAGAGAAGATTTTTTCAACACATTTCTAAACATAATAGTTTTAATAACACATTTCTAATAACTGATTAATTTTATCTTTGCCATGATGACAGTCAATAATATTTTACTAGATATTTTTCAAGACACTTCTATACAGCCTAAAGTGACATTTAAAGACTTAACTAGGTTAATTAGGTTAACTGGGCAGGTTAGGGTAATTAGGCAAGTTATTGTATAACAATGGTTTGTTCTGTAGACAATCGAAAAAAAAAATCTAGCTTAAAGAGGCTAATAATTCTGATCTTAAATCGGTTTTAAAAAAATTCAACTGCTTTTATTCTAGCCGAAATAAAACAAATAAGACTTTCTCCATTAGAAAAAATATTATCAGACATACTGTGAAA